AGTAGCATTAGTAGTAGTAGTTGTAGTAGTAGTAGTAGTAGTAGTAGTAGTAGCAGTCGTAATAGTAGTCGTTGCCACCATAGTAGTAGTGGTAGTAGTAATAGTAGTGGTAGTAGTAGTAGTAGTAGTAGTAGTAGTAGCGGTAGTAGTAGTAATAGTAGTAGTAGTAGTAGTAGTAGTAGTAGTAGTAGTAGGAGTAGGAGTAGGAGTAGGAGTAGGAGGAGGGGGAGGATGAGGAGGAGGAGGAGGAGGACCTCCAGACTTCTGTCGACGAACTATCGGCTTTGAGCTTGGCTGTGCCTCAGGCGCCTCGCCAGGTCCCTTGCCAAGCTCGGGGGTTGTGTGGGGCCGCGGGGGGGGGGGGGGTGACGTTGGAGGAGGGACGGGATGATGATAATGCTGATGATGATGATGATGATGATGATGATGATGATGGGGATGCTGAGGGTGATGACGATGATATTGATGATGCTGGTGGTGATAATGATGATGATGATGAGGATGAGAAGGATACTATTGATGATGCCAGTGGTCCTACTGATGCTCCTGATGATGCTGCTGCTGCTGATGACGATGATCATGCTGGTGATGATGATGATAATGCTGATGACGATGCCGATGGTGATGATGACGATGATGATTGTGGTGGTGATGCTGATGGTAAGCATGCTGCTGATGATGCTGATGCTGATGATGATGGTGATGCTGATGATGATGGTGGTGATGATGATGTCTGGTAATGCTGGTGAAGGTTCTGCTGCTGCTGGCGATGATGGTGCCGATGGCGATGGCGATGATGATGCTGATGATGCGGCTGATGATAATGCTGATGGTGCTTATGCCGATGATGACGATTCTGATGATTATCATGATGACGATGATGATGACGACGATGATGATGGTTTCGATGATGCTGCTAATGATGCTGCTGACGATAGTGATGATGCTGCTACGGATGATGATGCGGCTGCTGATGTCGATGCTGCTACTGATGATGACGATGATGCTGAGGAGGCTGATGATGCTGCTGCTGATGATGATAATGATGCTGATCAGGATGATGCTGATCAGGATGACGATGATGATGATGATGATGATGATGATGATGATGATGCTTCTGCTGCTTCTGATGATGGTGACGATGAGGACGATTATGATGCTGGCGGTGGTGGTGGTCGGTGTGGTGGTGATGCTGATGATGCAGATGCTGATGCTGATGATGATGACGAGGAGGAGGAAGAGACGGAGGAAGAGGAATATGATGCTGATGCTGATGATGCTGATGTTGTTGCTGATGATGCTGCTGATGCTGTTGATGATGATGAGGCTGATGCTGATGATGATGGTGCTGATGCTGACGATGCTGTCGTGGATGAATAAGATGCTGCTGATGGTGATGATGAGTATGAGGGCGTGGATGATGCTGATGATGGTGGTGGTGATGATGCTGAGGCTTCTTCTGATGAAGATGATGCTTATGATGCTGCTGGTGCTGATGATGATGATGGTGATGATTATGATGATGCTGATGCTTCTGCTGCTGCTGATGATGATGACGGTGCTCATGATGCTGCTGCTGCTTTCGATGATGGTGATGATGATTATGATGATGATGATGATGATGATGATGATGATGATGATGATGCTTCTGCTGCTGCTGATGATGATGGCGGTGCTCATGATGCTGCTGCTGCTTTCGATGATGGTGATGATGATTATGATGATGATGATGCTGCTGATGATGGTGATGATGGTGGTGGCGGTGGTGGTGATGATGGTGGTGATGCTGACCATGATGATGATGATGATACTGCTGATGATGTTGACGATGCTGATGCTGATGCTGAGGCTGCTGATGACGATGCTGCTGCTGCTGATGATGATTATTATTATTATTATTATTATTATTATTATTATTATTATTCTTATTATTATTATTATGTTGATGCTGATGATGATATGATATTGGTGGGGATGATGATTGTGCTGATGATGATGATGCTGGCTGATGATGCTGATGCTGATGCTGATACTGATGATGATGATGATGATGATGAGGAGGGAGGAGGAGGAGGAGGAGGAGGAGGAGGAGGAGGAGGAGGAGGAGGAGGAGGAGGAGGAAGAGGAGGAGGAGGAGGAAAAGGAGGAGAGGAGGAGGAGGAGGAGGAGGAGGAGGAGGAGGAGGAGGAGGAAGAGGAGGAGGAGGAGGAGCATGAAGAGGAGGAGGAGGAGAGGAGGAGGAGGAGGAATGAGGGAGGTAGGGAGGGACGGAGGAGGGAGGAGGGAGGGAGGGCAGGCGGGAGGGAGGGAGTGGGAGGGAGGTAGGGAGGTAGGGAGGGAGGGAGAGGGGAGGAGGAGGAGGAGAAGCAGGAGGAGGAGGAGGACGAGGAGGAGGAGGAGGAGCAGGAGGAGGGAGGAGGAGGAGGAGGAGGAGGAGGAGGAGGAGGAGGAGGAGGAGGAGGAGGAGGGAGGAGGGGAAGGAGGACGAGGACGGGAGAGGAGGAGTTGGATCAAGTCGCGCGTAGCAGTTTGCCTGGCCAGGCCCTCCCTTGACTCCTGCCTTCAACCTCTCACCCCTTTCGCCTTCCTCCCCTAGCTTTCGAGCCATGGAGGACGGCGTGGAGGTGCTGGAGGCCGCTGGGCTGGGTGCCGCGGCCAGCGGAGCCGCCGCGGGGCGCTGGAAGGGCGTTCAAAGCAGCGCATCTTGGCAGTGTTCACGGCCGTGCTGCTGCTTCTGGAGCTGGCGCTGCTGCCGCAGCCCCCGGCGCCCGTCGCAGCAGTGTGCTGGCCCGGGTCGCGACCATGCAGCCAGTGCGGATGCATGTGGCGATGCTTTACTTTTGTTGCGAGGTCTTCGCGCATCGAGAGATGCGACTGGCCAGTCGTGCAATCCCATGTCGGTTTTTCCGGCGCCATGCATGCGCCCCAGGCAGTATTCCCACAGGGTCAGTGGAAAGTTTGGCGGCGCTGCCTGGGGATGTGCGGGCGCAGGTTCTGGCGTGTGTGGTGGGGGAGGCAGGGGGGTCGCGGGAACGCCGACGGGGGCGTCTGCAGAGCGCGGCCCCAGGCCGGCTGACGACCCCCTGCCCCGCCGCGCCGCGGCGGCCGAGGCAGGCGACTTTGTTGGGCTCGCGTGGTGAGTTAATTTCGGGCTGGCGCGCGTTCTCCGCGAGCCGGTCCCGACGGGACGTCCGTCCCGGGGAGCTTGGTGACTGCTGTGGGCGACGTGCTCGCGGCCGCTTTGAGAGCGGTGGCCGCGGAACCCGCTAGGGAGGCTGCCTTGGCCCAGGTGCTGCTCGTGCCCCGCCTGCTCTTCGCCGCCCCCCCCGAGGGCGACTGCGGGCGTGCGGCCCGCCCAGTAGCGACGGCCGTCGTCGCGGCCAGGCATCGACGGGCGTGGGCCGGCGACTGGGCGGGCCTCCGGGCGGCGATGGCGCGGCCCCGCAGCGGCGGCGGCGGCCCGCGGACCGCCGACTTGGCCGCGCAGGCCCAGCGGGCACGCGAGCTCCCCACGTTTGGGGAGATCTCCCGCGCAGCTGCCGCAGCGAGTGGCCCTGGGAGGCTGGCTACCAGGCCGGGGGTCGGCTCCAGCTGGCCGACCCGTTGCCCCTGGCGGCGGGCGCGCTGCGGGCGGCCTCGGCGCCGGCTCCGCCGCAGTTGCGGTTTGAGGAGGACGCGGCGGAGGGCACCGCGCGGGCCCTCGACAAGTTCCCGCGGCACTCCAGGCCCGGCTTGGCCGAGGCGCGCTTCGAGCTCTGGGCCACCCTCCGCGGGCGCCTGGAGGGCAAGGAGGCGTTCGCGCAGGTGTTTGCCACCCTCTTGCGGCGAGGCGCCCCGCTCGCGGCGCAGGCGCTGCTGGGCGGTCGCCGCGCCCCTCTCCAGAAGCGGGGGGGCGGGGTGCGGCTTCGCTTGCGGGGGGGTGTTGCGCCGCGTGGTTGCGAAGGCGGCGACGATGCAGCACGAGGACTTCATCGCGCGCGCGGTGGGTCTTTTCCGCGGGGTGGGGCGCCGCAGCGGGGTGGGGCTTCTGCGCGAGGTGTTACATTGCACCCTGGGGCTGGCGGCCGGCAGCGCGGTGCTTTCGCTTGAGGTGGCAACCGCTTGCAACGCGCTCGACCGCGAGGTGGTGTTTTGGGGGGTCACTGCGAAACTGCCCCCCTTGCGCGCCTGGCGGGCGCGTGGCGCGGCGGCCGCGTCGCGCGCGGCGCCCGCCGCGCCGGCGCGGCTGCCGAGGTGGCCGCGCAGAGAGGGCTCGACCAGGGCGGCCCGCTCTCGCTGGCCTTGTTACGCGACGGCGACGGCGGGCCCCCGCGACGAGCTTGAGGCGGCGGCGCGAAGGCTGGGCGCGGGCGCGACCCTGGCGGCCCACTGTCCAGCCTGCGCCTGCGGACAGGGCTCGCGGCCGCATCGGCGCCCGCCATCGCCCGCGCGGGCAGCCTCCTCAAGTTCCCTTCGTCTGCGGAGGAACGGCGGCGGACGGCCTGGGCGCCGACGCCGCCGCGGCGAGCTTCGGCGAAACGCCGGCGCCGGAGCCGGCGAGGCGGCGCCCCCAGGCTTTCCGGGAAGCCCTGCACGGGATAACGGGCTCAGGGAGCAGGGCGAGCTCGTCGTGCTTCGGACCTTCGCGAACGGCGCCGTCCTGCACCGCGCGTGGGCGCGCCTCCTCGACGAGGCTTGGGGCCGCGGCTACGACGGCGACGTCATCGAGCATTTGCAGGACTTGTAGCCCTCGGCGGCCGCGGCGCGCGAGCTGGTCTGCCTCTTCGCTGGCAGACGGATGGCTGGGGCTGCAGAGTTTCGCAGAGAGCCGCCCGCCGGCCCTCGCCCGCCCTCGGCTCGCGTGCGCGGCCGAGGTGCGGCGCGAGCTCAGGGGGCCCGGCCTTGAGGCCTCTGCCGCGGGGGGGCGCAGGGGCGACGGCGCTGCGCGCGGAGCTGCCGCGCAGGAGGACGGGCGGCGCCGGCCCGACCGCGGCCGGATGCGCCGGGCAGGCTAGTTGCAGCGCGGGGCGCGAGTTGCGGCGCGGTCGAGGCGGTGGCCGCTGCCGCGGGCGCGGGCTGCTGCGGCGGCTGGGGCGACTGGCCGGCGGCGCTGCGCGAGCGGGCCAGGGGCGTGGGGGGCGCCGCGGCCGCGACCCGGCTACGTGGTCGTCCCGGTCCCCGTGGAGTTTCCGCGTGGCGGTTCCTATGAGCCCGGGCTGGCAGACCCCTCCCCCCTGGGAGTGCTCTGTTTGTCGACAGCCAGACGCGATTGGGCCGACGTCGGATTCTCTTATCGCACTGCGCAGTGCGCCCGCGTTGAGCTAGCATGCGCCAAGCGTGCGAATCCACGCTGGATTATACAATGCGGGCCACGTGCGCGCGCCGCCACGCGCGCGTGTCGACGACCTTTCCAACATCATGTGGGGTCGAAGTAGTCCGATAAGATCGCTTCACCCACGTATGACAAGCCACGTGTTGTCCGTGTTCTCTGAATTTCAGCACGCGCGCGCATTTCTTCATCATGTCGTCGTCACCATCAGTTACCCGCCCGTCATGGTCATGGATCCACACGGAAAAGCCATCGGGCCAATACGCATGTTGGGAATGGCCACCAAATTGCGTGTGGTCGTGCAGGATGTATGGTCGAGTGTTGGCGGTGGCCACCCGCGGACATCATCCTAGATGGATTGCACCCCGTGCGTTTTCTGTTTCATCAACCGTTGTATCATCTTCCCCTGTTGGGGCCCAAATTAACCCCTCCTGTACGCGTGTTGGTTCTTGAATTGTATTCCGCTGCTTGCGGCAAGCTCCGCCGCCGTGCTTGTGCAGCAACGTATTTATAATGATTTTGAATTCCGAAGGCGTTGCGTCTTCCCACCAACCTATCCAGGAATGATGCCGGGGAAGTGTCCATATCGGTGGAGTGTAACATCATTGGGAAAACTCGGGGAGCCCCCGTGGGTCTCTTCGGATGTCGTTCGGACCTTTTGGGGATTCTTGGGGGCTTCGGCTGGGATGCCTTGTGGACCCTTTGGGAGCCTCTTAGAACGTTTTGAGGGCCTCTTGGCGGTGATGCGTCGAGACTTCTCGAGGACCTCTTGGGGAGCTTTTGGGGGCCCGTTCCGGCCCGTCGACGGCCTCCTATTGCCTCTTTGGGGGGGCTTTTGACCACCTTTGGGGTGCCTTCTTTGACTTTCTCTCAGGGTTGGGGCCGGGTTCGCCTCCTTCGTTTCCTGGAGCTCAATGCCCAAACAGTTGCAGTTAGGGGCCTTCGTTTGCCTTCTAAAGGGGGTGGGCCCGTTTGCCGCCCTCGCGTCTCTTTTCGTGTCCGTTTTTTTTTCTTTTTCTTCTTCCTCCCCTCCTAAAAGAAATTGAGCGCAAGTCGGCCTCCCCGGCACATTGCTGCACACTTTTGAGGCGAATGTGCGCGGCGCTGAAGCGAGAGCCACATTCTGAAAACCCGTTGCCATCCATCCTTCAAATTTGTCGTGCATCCTTCAAACCGACATTTTGAAACCACCCGCCCTCCATCCGTGAAGCTGTTGCAAAATTCAAGCTTCAGGATGAAACGCCCGTCTGTCCTACTGTCGCGTCTGGGTGTTCGACGTGAGGATGTGGGAGGAGGATGACCTCCAAACCTCCGTCGTGCAACAAACGGCTGGGCGAAGGAGGACGAGGATGATCATAGGGAGCAGAAGAAGACGTTCTTAAATGACGTGGGCTGAGCTGTCCTCAGGACTGGCAAGAGGTAGAAAGGCCCACACCCAGCGCGAAATGTACGAAAGACGAGGAGGCGGCCGAGTTGGTGGGGGAGATAAAAGGGGGAGATGGGGAGATGGAGGAGAAGGAGGAAGAGGAGGAGGAGGAGGATGAGGAGGAGGAGGAGGAGGAGCAGGAGGAGAAGCAGGAGGGGGAGGGGGAGGGGGAGGGGGAGGATGGGGAGGAGGGGATTGAGGAGGAGGAGGAGGAGGAGGAGGAGGAGGAGGTTGCGGATGAGAACGAGGATGATCATGATGAAGAGGATGGGGATGTGGAAGGAGGAGAACGAGGAGGAACAGCTGCAGCAGGAGGCTGGAGGAGCAGAGAGACTAATTGAAGGCGGAGGAGGAGGAGGAGGAGGAGGAGGAGGAGGAGGAGGAGGAGGAGCAGGGCGACAACGACGATGAAGGACTCGGATCCAGAATTGTTGCCCGCGTTGTCACGAGAGTGCCATTGACCGACGGAAACAAAGCGTCGATGTTAAAGAGAGGCCAGTGCTGCAGCGGGGGCACCTCTTTGAGACATCGACAACGTTCCGATTGGAGAACAATGAAGTTCCAGTTTTTCGAATTTTGTGCGTGCAATTCGCAACACACGGAGATGGCGGGACACTTCGAGGACGTAGTCGTGGGAGAGGACAGGGTATTATTCATCTTGTCCAGTTGTTGAAAGAGGAGGAGGAGGATGAGGAGGATACGAGAGGAGGGGTAATGGAGGATGGAGGAGGAGGGAGGAGGGGGGGGGGAACGGGGAGGAGAGCGGAGCAGCGAGGCGTGGAAGCAATGGACGAGCGCGCTCGACGCGACCGCCGCTATCTCCCTGGAGGAGCCCGCTTCTGCTCGTCGTCGTCGTCGTCGTCGTCCCTCCGCCCTCCCTGCCTCCTGCCTCCCTCCTCCGTCCTCCCTCCCCTCAGATCCGGGCGCTCAAGCACTTGTGGCTCGAGACTTCTCCGTAACCATTTGGGTTCGGGGCAGTTTCGACGTCGCGTCCCACGCCTCCACGTGGCGCTTGAAGGACGTCCAGGCTGCCGCACCGCGAGTGCAGCTCCTCTGGGCGACGAGGTGGGACGCGCCGCGAGGGCAGCGGCGGTCTCCCGGAAGCTCTTTTTGACCTCCGGCAGAGGGTCCTGAAGCCCTTCGGCCAGCTCGACTTCGTGCACTCGGCCGCGCTGCCGGTGCCGGTTCACGAGCTCGACCTGGGCACGGTCCGCTTCCGCTTCCTGTCTGCGCTGGTCCTCCTGTCGCGAGAGTGTCTTTCGTGCAGGCGTCAGTGTCTTGTGCGCGGCCCGTCGGCGCGTCTTCTGCTGCAGCGTCGCTGTGGGCCTGCGCACCACATGCTGGGCAGTGGCTGCTGCGTCAAAGGTTGGTCGCACGGCCCTACTGCGCGTTCTCAGCTTCAGTGCCGCAGTGGGCCAGTGCATCATGCGCTGCTCGTTTCGGGAGGCGAATCTCAAACCTTTCGGCTTCTACTGCAATGCTTGGCTTAGCACGTGCGGGAATGGCCAGCAGTGGCAGCTATTTCTGTTGGTGCGTGGCTCGGGGTGTGAGGAGAAGCTGGCCCTGAATGTGATCAGCTATATCGCTGAAATCAGCGCGTGCGAGAAGGCAGACAGCGGCGGGCAGTGGCAGATATCAGTACCGGTGCGAGGCTCAGTGACAGCGGTCCGTCGGCGCATCCTCTTCTGCAGTGCCGCAGTGGACCAGCTGTGTTTCGAGCTTGGGTCAAGGCTGGTACTTCTCCTTCGCAGGTTGTGTGCTTGGCGATTGGCTCTCTTTTTCCCGATCATCGTGCAGAGTGGCTTTAGTGTTAGGTATGGAGGAACGAAGTTGCTCGATTGTTTCGGCTGTAGCGAGGCCGCTTCTGGGGGAGACGACCTCCTTCGAGGTTGCCCGATGATCTGAGGTGTCGTGATGTGGGCCGTATCGAGTTGAATTCATGTCATCCGTACTCTGTGCGGCCTGCGGCACTTGTGCGTGTTGCGCAAGCAGATCGCGCATTGATCGGACTTCTCGTCGCTTTCCCTGGGCTCCTGCTACTGCTTGTCCGTGTGCTTCGCTGTTTTCTTTGGGTATTTCGACGAACTCAGTGGTGGCATGTGTAATCAGCTCTGTTATCTCTGGAGTACGTCGTCGAGTCCTTCCTTTTCGCCGCGGGCTCGGAGAAGGTCAGCGTAATGTGGATTCTCTTCGCGATCGGTCCTATCCTATCCTATCCTATCCTATCCTATCCTATCCTATCCTATCCTGATCCTATCCTGATCCCTCAGATCTCGGCGTGGCAGCGAGCATCGTGACGGCCAGTTATTTGTTGTTTTCCGCTTCTTGGGGCCGCTTCCTGGCCCCGAAGCTGGATGGAAAGCTGGCCTTGGGTTAGTGGTCGAGACCC